CAGTGCGCGAGAGAGTCTTCTTCGCTTGCACACGAGCATCAAGCCAGCTGTGCACAAACCTGAAATAACATAAAAGTTTAACGTAGTTTAGCATAATGCATCATTTTCCCAGTTATTGATGAGTGAATATAATACCACGTTAAAACGGTGAGAAAAATAAATTATTGAATGTGAGAGTAAAATTACTGCTTTTGCGATATTAAGATTTTCAGGAGACATATCGAAACCAATCAGCTTAGGGCCATTAAAAAGAGCCTGGTCTTATTCTACTACAGAAATAGGTTAGATAGATTATTTCTTAACATGGAGAACAATTGGGCCAAATCGAAGGCATGAAGATCAAGATGGTGTGGCCTTTTGTATGGTCGAGTTGTCCTTTAGTTTTATAGAAGTTGTTTGATTATTTTCGCAACTTGGTCATATTGGCAGGAAGACTTAGAGGAATGCACCTTGTCCGCAGTTCATAGTATGCATGAGCATTTCCAGAGTCGGACCGTGGACTTGGTATATTTCGAAACGTTTCGCCGGCATTGTAGTCCACATCGTCAGTGATCTTTACCACTACTCGTCAAAAGATACAAGTAAAGTCGATCATGGACTAAAGTTTAGTCTGGACCATCGAAATACGGTAAAAAGAGGAACGTCACAATTCCATACAAATACAATAACCCTCATGGCAATTAAATATAAATTTTTGTTATACTGAAATAAAGATAATAATCTCCTCCTTTATTTTGTTAGGTGGTATTCGCAAGGCGGCAAATGCTGGTCTATTTGTCTAAAGTACAAACAATAAAACAACTGTTAAAAAACCCTATTAATCCCAGATGGCAATAAGGATGATCTTGCTACTGAGGAGCATCATGATACTCGATTCTGTGCAAGGATTAGTCTCCCGTTGGAAGAACACGTTCATTGGTGATGATAGTGTTTGGCCTCAAATTTGTAAGGGAGGTCTAAACCTCGCGCGCAATTAGCGGTCATATAACTTACTCTTTAAATGGTAGCAATAGCAATTATGCTCGGAATATTTTTAGCCCTCACTGCAAAGGGAACGGGTGAAAGAGAATTCCTTCCAAAGATGAGGGGACACAATCCGAAGGTGAATGATATAACGATTACATAATGAGGAGATTTTAGATAGTATAAAGATTTAACTTACGGTGCCCATCCCAAATCACCAGGATTAAGGAATAGGATCCCAGCTCTGGACACAGTAGCTGGCGTTGCAGTTTTCAAGTGGCTAATTTCAAATAGTAAGCGCATAGATGGAGTAAGCGGAATTCGCTCATTGCTAGCCAAGGTCAAGACTTTGTTGTCATCCATTACGGTATTCAGAGATTCTATCCACATTGGGTCAATGTCGCCATCCAATACAATCCACTTTGGTCCAAGTGAAGTGTTATTCGCCAAATCTCTCATAATGACGGAAAACAAGCCTGTAAAACAAAGTCATAGCTTTATATTTGTAAACAGCAAGATATTATTACCAAAATGAGGACTCCATCCATGGGATCATTTGGATCTTTACCATAAAACTGGAATTATGGCGAGCTCAGCAGCCTAGAAACCAGAGCCTATGTTACTAGGACTATGTAGTAGACAGATGTCAATATGATCTACCCAGCAACTTCAATCATACAATCGGCATTTTCATAGTCAAGCTTTATCACTGTTATGCTAGCATATTGTACACCCCATTAGGTGAGTTAAAGTGACTAAAATTCTTATTCAAGACCTGATATAATTTTGAAACCGAATTATTTGGTTGCTAGATAAGTTATCTATTAATATGGAAATGTAATTGTTCTGGAGACTTTATGAAAGCGCATGATGAAGAGATTCGTAGATCGATCTCACCAGAAGACGACGGCTGATTCCTGTTGTTCTGCCGCCATTTGGCTTTAATACGATTTTCAGGTTGACGCAAGTCATGAGGCATTCTCTCCTGTTTCGGGTGAAAATGGGTATGTAAAGCTCATCAAACAAAGGAGACGTATGAGATTACGCAATTCCCGTCATTCTTTTCCTTGAATAATTAAATTTCAATGATCCAAGACTAACAGATTCAGAATAGTGTATTCGTAACCTGACTTTACCGCGAACAGGTTTACATCTCATCAATTCAACCAGAGTTACTTACGGACTAAGGAAAGCTTGGTTATGCTTTTTCTTAGTTTATTAAGACTTGATGACTCGGGGCTGACGTTAGGCTTTTTTCTAATTACTCTGGTAGATTTTACGTACAAACGTTATTACACATAAACACATACTGACATACCCGAGAATAAGAGAATTAACAAAACCTTAACATATCTATCTACGTCTAAAAAGGAGTATATACAGATTATGCAGGAAAGAGTCAGTCAGTCTTTTTGACTTGGTGATAGTTTGAGACTTTTGCAAGAATAAATCCTAGATCTGATGCTGCTCGTCATAAGACGAACGAAAGACTCCGTTTTCACCCAAAACGAGGTAGGATGTCACGTGAACTGCGTAGACCTGAACGCCATATTGAAGCCAAACGGCTGCAAATGTCATCTTCTAGTAAGATTGACCTACGAAACTTTGAGTCATGCAATTTCATACGAAATGAAGATTTCCACAAAATTGTTATCTCAGGATAAGTGGTCTGACGTCGTTTTCGTAACTTGGTCGTGTTGTCGGGAGGATTTAGTTGGATGCACCTTGTTCGAAGTCCTCTGCTGTAGTAGTTATCATAATTCCCCGCGCCCGACCGTGAATTCGGTACATTTCCAGACATACTCACGGCATCGTCAATGAACTATGCCATACTCAGCACAAAGCTACAACTCGTCGAAGATACTAGTGAAGTCATTGCCTTAGTCAACTTTCCGCCGGACGGTTGTGTGAAATCGGTCAACCAGAAAGAAAAGAAACGGATCTATGGGCCCATATGGGAGATCCGGATAGGAGGCCCAAGTCAGATTAACAAATCTAAAGGGAGGGGGCAGCAGGTGTGATGACGTAACACTAAATTCGCCAAAAAGGGTACATCTCTGGAGGCGTGGAATATAG